GAGCGCGATGCCTCCATGGAGCGCCGAGATGTGGCCCTCGAGCGACGAGCCAGCGCCAAACGGGATGAGCGGCGTCTTGGTCGCCGAGCAGAGCTTGAGAATCGTCGAGACCTCTTCCGTGCTGTCGGCGTAGACGACAACGTCAGGCGGGCACGGCGCGTGGTACGACTCGTCCGTGCCGTGGTGCTAGACATGCAGAGAGGCGGCGTGAGGCGGCGCGCATGGGCTAGCGACATACCTCGCGCACCGAGGCAGCGGTCGAGACGCGGTCGCCAAAGAGCTCCTTGAGCGTCGCGAGGGTCTCGGCCGACACGGCGCGGTGCTCGTACGGACCGCCCTCGGCCGAGAAGCAGCGGCGCGCGACCGACGTGCGCTTGGAGATGGCGGCGAAGGACCGAGCCAGCATCGTCGTTGATCGAGAAGCGAGCGAAATGCAAAATAATCCCTCAAAGGGCCATCTCGCGCATCCATCCGGATATCCAGTACCGGATGCAATTTACATAGAGACGCAAGTGGCACATCCTGCTCGCACCCAAACGACTGTCCGGCACCATGGTCGGACCAAGTTGTTGGATCAGGTTCCGCTGCAAGGTCGCGTCGAGGACTGTATGGCGCGGAGGTGCTAAATGAAGTGCTCGTATCTGGTTGGAGACGTTCAGGGCAGCGAAAAACCAACTAGAGCAGTACACGGCCGCCCACGGGGACGCGTATCTGTGGGAAGGCAGCTCGTGTTCCGCCCCATTACGTCAAGGTCGGACGCCTTCACTTGCGCTATGCAGCGACATGGGGTGGTCATTCTGCCGCTTTTTTGCATTGGGTGACCTAAAAATCAAGAAATGTGTGGTTTTTCGCAGATTCGATCGAGAAGGTTCGTGTGGCGCCAATTCGAGGGTAGCTATTATACTCCTACCTTGCCTGCATTGCTTCTTGTTGGATTGGTAGTATAAGTGACTACCTACTCCACACGAGGCTCTGCGCCGCGCTGCATCCGTTTGGAAGTCAGTAGCTCAAGGTCGGACTTGTGGCGCCAGATTGATATAACTCGGACAGCCAATCCAAACGCGCCTTGTCATGCCAATATAGCCAATCAGAGTGGTGCGAACCCGATCTTTCGGGAAACGCCGCCGCGAGCGCCGCCCCGCATGTACTCGCGCAACCCGAGTCTCTTCTTCTCAGACCTTCCCACGGGTACGTCTCTACGCACTACGATCTATGCAGCATGAATGGCTGACTGTGCAGGCCTCTTGTCGGGTCAAGACAACGACGTCGTATGCACCCAATTTCAAAGCGTCTCTACAGTGGATGTAGGGGGAGCGCGACGCGACACCCGAAGCACGCGCGCCAGCGTCGTCCAAGCTGCGTATTGCCAAGCTTATAAAGGCGCAACAAGGCCCGTGGAAGCGGCCAGAGCGACTCGAGCGCGACGACGCCCCACCCCCGTCGTTCCCAACCCTTGCCGAGCTCGCCGCGCGGAAGAAGCCGCCGCCAAGCATGGAGACGCATTCGCTGGCGGCCAAGCGCAGAGTGTATGGCGTTGGTCCCAAGCCAGCGCTCAAGTATGGCAAAACGCCCTTGGCAGCAATCAACACGGAGCATGACGACCTCGAGCACCTCCGCGTACGAGGACGCACTGCGTTTGACGCTAACGCTGGGAATGGCTAGATCACCATGCATCGCGTCGGCAAGAATCTTCCGATTCAGTTTTTAAAGGCGTCCAAGCACACGGATTTCGCCAAGCGCATGGCCACTGAGACCGTCGTGCGCATCGTATCAGCCAACTTTGAGCACGCGCGGCGTCGCGCCTTTGGCATGTGGCAGGTGCACCGAATCTTATACTTGGACCATTGACATATTCCTCACCTCAACGCTACCAACGAACTCGTAGACGTGTACAGACGCCCACCGCGCGCGCGAGCACGCGTTCAAGCGGCATCGTCTCGAACAGCTCGCAGGTGCTTTCCACGCTGACGCCTTGCATGCCACAAACGATCGATACCAATAGGCTTGGCACGCATGTTGTTTTTGCTGCAGACCAAAGTCGAGCGCCGCTCTCGGTATATCCTGACCGCCTGGGCAACCGAAGCTCGAGCGCGGACGCATGTCATTCATACCTTCCACGCGACTCAAATCCAGTGCGCGTGGCGACAAGCCATGGCGCGACGGCTCCGCCACCGTCTCTACTGCGCCCACTTGGCTGCCTGCCAGCGACACAGTGCCATCCACTCGCAGCGGTACGACGACGACTCTGTCACACGCATGAACGGGTACCGACATCGACCTAGATTGGTGCGCGGCTTTCTGGCGCGGCGCGAGGTTTCTCGGCGCCGAGTCGCCAAGCAAGAAATCATGGCAGCCACTCGAATTCAGCGGGCCTACCACAATCAAGTGCTCTACCGTGCATATCGACGCCAAAAACAGAGTCGCGCGAGTGCGTTGCTCCAGCGCGTCTACCGCGGGCACCATGGCCGCGTCATCGCGCTCGCTCGTCGTGCTGCGCTCGCTCAGGAGGCCTCGAAATATGTCCACGAGCACGTGCTTCCCGCCGCCTGCGCCAACGCGTATCGACGAACAGTCAGCGCCCGCCGTATTCAGCGCTGTGTGCGGCACGCGACTGCACGCACCAACTACGCCCGTGCGTATCCAAAGCTCTATGCGCACCGCCGGTACTTTCCCGCGTTTCGCATCCAGGTACCTTTTTTTCTATTCTGTGCGTGGCGCATTCATACAATTGAACTAGCGCACTTGGCACAGCTTTCGGTCAGCACAGCTAACGGCAGTAGTGCGACGCATCGTGCAAGGTCTCTGGGCAGTGCAAAAACGTCTCGCGTCCAAGTGTGCCTACCGTGACGCACGGCGCGTCGAACGAACGCAACACCGGGCAGCGATCGCGATACAACGCATGTACCGTGGCCACCGCGCGCGACGCCGCGTACAGCCGCTCATTGACGTCCGCGTGAATACGCTCGTCCAGTCGCTGCCACCGGACTTTGTTGTCGCGCCAGCCATACTGCGCGGTCGAGGCACGCAGGCGATGGCGCAGCTCGAGCTCCAAGTTCAAAAATGGCGCGGACAAAATGCAATGACGCTCCAGCGAGTCTACCGCGGTCACATGGGCCGTCGCACGGCCAAGCGCGTGCGCATCGCGTGGTGCCACCTCCTTTGCGTGCTCAACCGCCCCGTGCATGCCTTTCTTATGCGACAGCTCGGTCGTCGCGTCCGGGTACGCTCATCAAGACATTTCCTGGTACACAATACTCAGGTGATATGGTTGGATAGGCCCGCTGGGTTCGAAAACGACACGCAGGTGTTACCAAAGCCTTTTTAGTGTGGAAAGGGATTGCCCGCGCGCTCCGGCACGTCCACTTGCTTCGGTCGTCGGCGCGGCTTCGGCAACTCGCCACGTGGCATTTTGAAAAAGTGCTGCGCAAGAAAACGCTTTGTCGGTGGCGAAGTGGTCTTGTGCGGCAGCGCGAGATGCGCTTCAAGAAGCACGTAGCGCAGTCCTTTGCGTTGCGGTCGCGACAAACCAAGGCGTTCCAGGTACGACGCCGAAGAGGGTCGTAGGAGCTTTCTTCGACGCGTGGGTGGTAGCGCCTGTACGACCATGTCCTTGCCGACATCGTCAACGAGAGGGTATGGGCGATGCAGCGCAAGGTGATCTTTGTGTATGCGTGGCGCCACCACACAGCGCAGATGCGACACGTCCGGGCCATGGAGACGCGGTACCAAGCACGGCTTGTGGCTGCCAGTTTGGACCAATGGCTCACGGTGTACGTCTATGACCACCTTGTGCAAGGCCTAGCGCGGCGTCAGCGCGAAGCGTCTTCGCTGCGGTCGCACCTGGCCGCCCTGCACGCGTACGTCGTTCGGCAACATGCTGGTATATTGGACGACATCGATGGAAGGACACTATCTGTGCCCATGAAATCGTTGGATAGTTGCTGCGCAATGGCGCCGACGTGGCCTGCAGCGCGGCCTATCCCAATGGGTCACGGCGCGCGCGTGGACGCGACTGAGCAACGACCAAGGCGCGCGGGCCAATCGATTTCGCGTGCGCCACATTGTGCGTCGGTGGCAGCAACTGCGCAGTATTCAGGAAGCCGCCGCGGCGCTCCGCACCAAGGTCGATGCATTTGCGCAAGCGCATGGACAGATGCGCGCGCTCGTGAGCTGGATTGTGCACACAGACGAAGCGCGCGCGTACCACGTGCTGTATACAAAAGCACAGACTCTCTTCAAGCGTACGCACGTCGCAAAAGCGTTCGCCGAGTGGTTTCAGCTCTGGGCCGAGACTGCAGGTGAACGCCGCATCTACTTTGCAAGGCTTCTGCAGCGTCTCTGGCGCGGCAAGCTCGGTCGGCGCCGCTTTGCGCAAGCCCGCGCGTTGGAAGACTACAAGGTCCACTGCAATCGACCTGTGCCAGCACGTTTCTATTGATTCGAAAGTAGGTGGCGCGCCGCATCGAACTGGGCACGGACATTCCGCAACTGGCGCCGGACGCGATGCAGGCACTGGTGACACCGGCCGTGAGCGGGAAAGAGTGGGTGCTACTGCTCGCCTACTTGCCGTGGACCGCGCCGTCTCCGCGCATGTTCAAAGCGTTTGCAACTGTCGCAACGTCGTACTATAAGAACAAACGCATCGCCTTTGGCTGCATCGACGCCACCCAGCGGGACGCATCGTAGGTTCCACAAGCATTCTTGCAACGTATTAGAGAATCCTGTGGCTAGGAAAAGCGTCGCGGCCAAGTACCAGCTCGAGGACGCGAAGCTGCCGCGGTTGCTTGTTTTTGGCAAGGGCGCGGACCTGAGACGCCGACGCAGCGAGATCCTGCGAACCGTACTACGCGCCGGTTCACCGCCGTCAACTTGCACTACCCGCACCCGCTTTTGCAAACACACGAGCTCCACGCGTGGGTTCAAAATCTTTTATCTCGCGGCCGCGAGCACACGGCGATTGACCTCCAAGCCGATTGGCGCCGGTTCCTCGTGCGGCTTCGGCGCTACTACCGGCGTCAAATCTGCCGACGCAACGCCATAGTGCGCATCGTGGTCTGGTTTGTCCAGCGTCGTCGGGCGCGGAGACGCCGGAACGCGACCAAGCTCCAGCGCTGGTACCGTCGGCGCAAGGAACAAGTCGCTGCTTACGCACGCGTCGTGGCGTCGATGGCCGCGTACCGCAGGCCGATCGTAGCCTTTCAGCGCACCCTTCGGCGCCACTACTGCCGGCGTCAGTTTCGTCGGGCCATGTACGACGACGACGACATGTTGTCCATTTTTGTTGAGTATTGACATGCGTTTTAGGGATGAGAAATACGCTACCGTCGAGAAGTACCCCCACGCGCCGCTGTGCTTGACGTGCGAGCGCGCTGTTGGCGTGCTCCAATGCATCGACTGCCACGAGCCGTACTGCGATACGTGCTTTGGCGTTTACCACGGCAGCGGCCATCGCGCCAGCCATCGGAGCAAGATGATCGACTTTATAGCAATGCACGCCAACGACCCCATGTGCGCCGAGTGCTACGTCGACCGGCCTCAGCGTGTCTGCAAGGTGCATTATTCCGATTGATCTAGACCACACGGAGTACGTACTTTTGTATGGCTAGGGTTGTAAAAAAGGCCTCTGCGGTCACTGCCACAACAAGACGCACACCATAGCGTCGGGCTTGCAGAAGCACGTGTACACGCGGACGCGCGTGCTCTTGAAGACGTTCGAACGCGCCCATCCGACGACCACGAAGACGAGGCTCAAACTTCAGAAAAAGCGAGCAAATTTGCTTCTGACCGAGACGGCCCATGAGATCATGCTCTCTCAACACTGGATGTCATTTACCCAAAGAGAGGCGGCGCGTGTCGCGACAGAGGCGGCGGCTAAAAAAGAAGCCGACCGAGCGGCGGCGCTGGCGCATGCAATGGCGCAGTTGGAACCGCCCGTGCTCGATGCGTTTGAGATCTACGACCCCGACCACGGTGGGTACGTCGGGGCTGGGGAGCTCGCCATGATTTTGCGCAACGAGCTCTGCATTCCACTGACCAAGAAACAGCTCGCCATTGGCATGCGTGCCATTGACCGAGATGGCAACGGTCGATTCGGTACAGTGGCCCCCGCTTATGTTTGTTGAGCGATTGTCGATGTAGAGTGGCGCGAGATCTGTGCTTGGCTGGCTGAAATCGTCGTCGACCACAAACTCGATGGTAGGCAGGCTCCACGCTCCCGAATTGTGTGTGGTTATTCGTGTTTTATTGGCAACTTGCGGTCTCTAGGTCGGCTCGATGCGCTTCGCCGCAAGAAGCTTCACGCGCAAAAGAACTATCGCAAGCTGCAACACAACATCCGTAAATGGAAGCGCGGGGTGTTCCCGGCGCGCAAGAAGCGCGTGCGCATGGTGCCGGGCTTCCCCGACGTGCCCCAATTGCACCCCGTCGACGACTTTCAAGGCAAAAAAACGGTATTTTACCGCTTCATCAGCTCGGGTAGAGCAATGCGTATTGCGGTCGAGAGTGCACACTATCGTCTTGTGTAGAATTTGGCATGAAATGGATCTTCGAAGATGTCCACGAGATCGACTTGGCCAACCAAATGGCGGTGTTTGCATCGACTTTTGTGCCACGCTGGAACAGCGGACAACTCGGGTTCGAGTACTTTTACGACGGCGTGACGTTCGAGTACGACAATGCGATTTGGAAACAAGTGTGGCGAGAGGCGGCACACAAATACACGTTTATCAACGTTGCCGATGGCAGCGAGCACTTTGCCGACCCGCGCAAGGTCGAGAGGCTCTTTACACAAGCCCGCGAAGCCTTCGGAGAGGTCGATACGGATGGGTACGCGCGTTGGATTGCGTTTATTTCACCAAGACGACCTTGGTAGATCGGGTCAAATCGACGTCCTCGAGCTCTACCATTTACTCAATCACAACCTCTGTGAGCCCGTTACGATGGACCAAGCGCGCGCAATTATGGAAAGCATTGATAAAGACGGAAGTGGCGCCATTGGTATTGTATTTTCGAGTTGTCGACGCTACAATTATCGTCGGTGGCACTAGATTTCAACGAATTTTACACGTGGTACGCCTCGGAAAACAGCCAGCAATGCCCCAAGTCAATCAAGCACCGCGGACTCCAGACCGCGCTTCGCACGCGACGTCATGCCCAGCGCATCGGTACACCCTTGTGTGTTGTTTGTTTACTTGAACACGGGCGGGGTAGTCACGACCAGCTACAAGAAAGGGCTCGCGACGAGCAAGTCGGTCGTTCAATCTGTCCAGAACCGTGTCGAAGCGCAGCGTCTCGCCAAGGCATGCGAAGGCGCAGACCCCGAAATGGTCGAGCTTCTCATCGAGGTCACCAAGACAACATTGTACTATGTTACTATATTGTATCTGCGACTAGGGGTTTGACAAACCGATGGTTCATAAAGCGCTCATGCTGGCACAAAACGACGTCAGCAAGGTTTGTCGTCGCCATGCATGAGCTAGCGTTGATGCGACATCGTCTTAGGCGCGGGCGTGGCTGCAGCAACGCAAGGAGGAGGCCGAGCTCGACGCAAAACAGCGAAAAGAAGCACGCCAGAAGCGGCGCAACGCCCAGCTGCGGGGGCTGCACGCAGCGCATTCGACAGCGAAAGCTGGCCTTGTCAGTGTCGCGAAATCCATAAAATTGCTCATTCTTGGTGACAAGCCCAACCACGACGACGAGGTGCGACGGTCTATATACGATGGTATACGAAACAAACGGTTTGTTTCTAGGTGGCGATGATTCTGCGCGACTTGCAACTCGAAGTCAACCGCGCGGAAGGCATCGTGCGAGACACGATCGAGAACAGTTAGCGCCTGTGTTTGCATACAAAAGTTGATGATGTTGAGGGTCGTTACGGAAGTAAAAATAAAACAGGGGAGCGGTTTCGAAGTACCGCTCTCTAAAACATCGTGACCGTGACACGAGCACGATGACGTGCGGCGTACAATCGCTTTGCAAACAACGAGAGCGCCACACGCGGTCGCACGGCCGCCGTGAATGTGAACACGTTGGCTCGAATGAATGGATCTTTCACGTGTTTACAATGTATAACAGCTTGGTGCACGGGCAACGAGTTTACGGGTACTTGGGTGCATGTTCATACTAGTAAATGATTTCGGCCAGCCAACACCTGCTACATGCTGGCTTTGCTATTTTGCACTTATTAATAGTACATAACCATGACAACCATTTAGCAATGTCTCATCAACAGCACGCATGGTTTTCTCGGATTTGACGAGCCATCCAATGGAGGCATTATCAGACGACCTCTTCACCGTGGATGAGCACGTCGACATTGCACAGATCCCATTCGCACCCTGTAACTGAGAAATTCTCAGTTTCCAAAATCGACATGGCTATTCTCAGTTAGTGTGACGATGTCGACTTTACCACGTAGTTGCGCAACTCACGTGTATTTAGTATGCACATGGGCTTCTATGCCCTTGGTACAAACTAGAATAAGTAAACGAGTCGAATGCACGCACTGATGGTGGGACCGTTGAGTTGGGGCTTGCGAGAGCAGCCGGCTCAACACCGCTAGCATCGTCGGTTGTGCAGCCAGAGATTTAAGAAGCACTGAGCTTAACAAAGGCGGCGGTTACGGTCCTCATCAACAAGTCCTCCATTTTGTAGGTGTAAATACCTAGCCAATCAATGTGGGGTTAGACGACACGTCATTCCTGTCGTAGATCGCCTCTCTATAGAGTAACCGCTAGTTAGTGCATCCAGGCAGAAAACTCATTCAATCACACGGAGGAATCACGCGGGGAAATCTCACCGAAAATCACATAAGGTGCATGTTTCTGTACTACATACTAGTACATATATATTTGGTCATGGCGGCTTGTTGAAGCCGCAAGCGGTTGCAAACCTCCATGGATCTTCACACCTGATATCGACCTGACTAGAGTTGCGAGTTGGCGGTGGATTCGGCGTGGTTTAACCGTCTGTTCTCGCCTTGCAGTAGCATGGCTTTGGGCGCAGCTATGGACCATCGTCTCATTCTCGCATTTGCCCTCGATACCCAAAATGGTCAAGATCATCATTTCTCTCGGCGCGTTGGCGGCGACAGCTCTCGCTGGCTCGGTCACCGAGTTCCCCAAGGAAATGGCCGACTTGATGAACACGACGGCCGACCCTTGTACGGACTTTTACCAGTACGCGTGCGGTGGCTGGATCGAGAACGCCGTCATTCCCGACGACCGCTCGACGACCGACACGTCGTTCAGCGTCATTGCGGCCAAGAACGACGCCGTCATCAAGAACATCCTCGCGGCCGGCCACTCCAAGCTCACCGAGTACTACAACTCGTGCAAGGACGAAGCACGGCTCAACGAGCTCGGTGTGACGCCAATTGCCGATGATCTCAAGGCGATTCGCTCGGCCAACTCGACGACCGAAATCCTCCACACGGTCGCCAAGCTCAGCAAGAAGAACGTGCCCGCGTTCACGCAGCCCGCCGTGTACCCCGACAAGATGGACGCGACGACCAACGTGCTTTACTCGTTCCAGGCGCCGCTCACCTTCGATGAGCTCGATTACTACAAGAACAAGGACATCTGGGCACTGCTTCAGCCGTTCTACGAGCAGTACATCGTGTCGCTCTTCACGCTCGGCGGTGGCAAGTCGGCGGGTGACGCCAAGGCCGCGGCCAAGATCGTCATGGACTTTGAGCGCCAGTTTGCCGGTGTCCAGCTCTCGAAGCTCGAGGCCATGGAGGCCGTCACCGCCAACTACAACGCCATGAGCTACGCCGAAGCGGCGACCAAGTACCCGCTCACGGTCGGCATCCAGCTCGAGGAATACGGCTTCAACATCCACAACGGCTGTCTCGACACGAGCAACAAGATCATCTTGCAGGACCTCGGTTTCTTCGACCGCGTCGAGAAGCTCGTCGCGGGTCTGTCGCTCAAGGACCTCCAGACGATCGCCGAGTTCAAGCTCCTCAACACGTTCTCGACGTCGCTCACGCCG